TTTCATCTTGAGATCCATAACCAATTATATCTGCAAAGACCCTAGTTTCAAATAAGGTCACATCCTGAGGCTCAGGGAGACACAATTCAACCCTCTTCCCTCGGAGTCTGCAGCTTCCCAACTGTGAGAGTTTTCCCTTCCAAGTGCCTACCTCACAGCTTAGAACCAGAGGGTGGCCTTGTCATCATGGACTTTGCAAATGTGGAGGGGTAGGTAGGTGCCTTGTCTATTCCACAGTGAACCTTGAGGGGAAAAAGAGAGCTCCAAAAGCCACAACAGCCAAACCCCTAAAGCTCTGGGTAGAAAAGAAAGGGCAGGGGAATGCAGGTGGGGCTCAGGGCCTGGGGAGGGAGGCCTGTGGGTCCTCAACACTGTCACACTGGTCCCACCAGCAAGAAAACAAGATACCCCTGGACCCAGTTCTCCACCAGTCTCAACAGGAACAAGGCTCTTTCTCCCCCAGGGGGACAGGAGAACAACTCTGCTTTCCCTGCTCTTCCTCAGGAGAACAGAAATGCCACCTCCCACTTCCCAGCTCCCCCTGTGTCTCTGGAGGGTCACACAATGCCCCCGACCATGAGATCACATAGTAGACACACACAGTTGCTCTGGGCCACGGCTGGAGGAAGCTATGGGGAAGGGTGGCAGGATGAAGCAGCAGTGAGTCGGAGGTCACACCAGACACACTGGGCTGAGGAATAAACACACATGGCGGCTGCAGATCCACAGCAGGTATGGCTGGGCTAGTCAGGCCGTCCTGGCATCTTGTGGGCAAAGGGGAGTTATGACGTGGGGGGACACAAAGCTGCAGGCCTTGGGAACAAGAGCACAGCAGACAGAGCGCCGCCCCATCTGATGTGCTCAGAATTCAGAATTTCTCCATGTTGTAAAGGTAATTTGATGCATAGACTGCATATTAGGAAAAAACCCCAGTGGGGCTTGGGGTAAAGTACTGTAACAAACAATATATACTTCTGCAGGGAAAATATGATTATTCACAACAGAGAGAAAAAACAGGGACATGAAATCAGCTAAGATCGGGTTTTACCACCAAATGAGTTTGCTATAAATTTACCCCCCAAAAAAATTCATTTGCTTTTCAGAGCTTTTGGGATTCTGAAATAGCAAAGAAGGGACTACAGATGGGTATTTACAAGCCTGAATCGAGGCACTTTCTTAACCGAGGCAGCCTCATCCTCCAGAGGAAAGGTGTGCAGCAGGGCTGGGACTGACATCCAGCACGGCTGTCACCACCACCCAGACCCAAATAGCTTCCACTTGTATCTCCTCTGTAACCCCGGCTTCCCCCAAAGGGTTCAGTTCGATGAAAGAATTTGGAAGCTACAAAACAGACTGCAAATTACTGCTCTATATCAGGGGTGGCAGAATTTTTTTTTTTTGTAAAGGGCCAGACAGTAAATATTTTAGGCTTTGTGGGCCAAGAGGTAAACCAAGAGTATTAGGAGGTGCTTAGGCAACAAGATAGAAAACAAATTCCCACACATTTCATGGATGAAATTTAAACTTTATTTATGGTCCCTGAAATGTGAATTCCATATCGTTTTCACATGTCATGAAATACCATGCTCTTGATCTTTTATTTCCCGGTCATTTAAAAGTGTAACAACTATTCTTAGCTTGCAGGCCATACCCAAAGAGGTTCAGGCCACATTTGGCCCATGGGTGGGCAGTAGTTTGTGGTTCCTGTTGTAGGAGATTCCTAGAAGGTTCAGTCCCAGAGTGAGACCCACTGGTGACCCCCCAAAGGGACCAAGTGAGAGCCCTTGGCTGGATCAAAAAGATAAAAACCTGGAAGCTCCTAAAATAAGGCATGCCTAGCCTTTGACTTATAAATCATTTAGAAGGAAACTGCTTTCTACTCAATTTTCCAAAACCTAAATGGCAAATATGATATGAGCTATAACTTAACAAAATTGTTTTCCTTAAACACTCCCTTTCAAGAAATAATATGTATAAAGTATCCTGAAATGCAATGTTTTCACCCTCTTAAATGGGACTCATGGTACAGCAGGTAGGCTATAAACTTATTTGCATTACATGTGTTCTGTGGGTACCACCATTAATCTGAGTCACATTAACAAAATGCAGGATGAACATAAATCAATCAGACTTCGAACCATCCTGGCAGCCTCTGAAGGCTTGCCATGAGCTCAATAAGCCAGGCAGGAGCATAGATATTACCATCAGGGGACAGTCCCCTCAGTCCCAGATCCCAGGACCCTCTTTGGGGCCCATTGTGAATTTGAGCACATTTTAATTATCAAGTTTAGGCATACTTCTTAATATATAGGCTTAGGGTATACTAATGTCTCAGCCAGCTTGGGCCAAGAACATGCGTAACAGATTAGTTAACCCAGATTAAAATGTGCAGTCCAATCTCAGAAAGGGCTAGAAATCATCAAAGAGAAAGTACATGTGAGTAAACTACTTGAAGGCAAATGTAGGGTTTGGCAATGTTAAGGTGAAAGGGAAAACCACAAAATGACCTTTAGAGCTCTAAACATGTCTGCCGAAAAATTAAGACCAGCTGACAAACTGAAAAATCAAAAAAACTTCACAAAAACACCTATTTTCCAGGGGGCTAAGATCTAGAACAATCTCCCACCAACCTTTGTAAGTGTGCATATGGAGGTCATGCATGAAAATAGCATTTATTGAGATCTAATTCTGAGATTATTACATACATTATTTCATCAAACATCTTCAATAACCATGCTAAGAGCTATTTTATCCCCAATTGATGGAAAAGAAATCTGAAGCACAGAATTTTAATTAACTTGCCCAAGTCATGAGGTTAGCAAGAGTCAGATCTGAGGTTCACCGCCTGTGCTCTGTATGCCAGAGGCTAGTAAACTGTAGCCCATGGGACAAATCTGGCCCACTTCTTATTTCTGTAAATAAAGTTTTATTCGAACACAGCCATTCCATTACGCATTGTCTGTGGCTGTATTCATGCTCCAGCATCAGAGTGAGTAGTTGCGACAGAGATTGTACAGCCCACAAAGCTGAAAATACTTACTCTTCAATCCTTCAGAGAGAAAGGCCATGTTCATGTGCCCTGGGGCCATCTGCCACACGATAGCCCTCTGCTGCGGAAGCATGTCAGCTCACAGGCCTCAATGAGGCAGCACCCCTACACAGTCCTTACATGTAGGACTTGCCGGCACCTCCTTCCCACAGCCACCTGACCACTGGGCTGGATAATGGGAGAGCCTGTGATGCGAGAGCAGCCAACCCGCAGGCAGCCTGGCTTGAGTGCTTTGTCCAAAAGGCACAGTGGTGACTGCAGTGAACCAAGAAGAGTCACTCCCTTGACAGCGGAGGAGGAAGCCAAAAGCAGGAGGCAGAAGAGAAAAGACACCGGAGGAAAGCAGAGGAGGCAAGATCAGCTGAGACACACTGACAGTCCAGACAGAGGACTGCAAACAAGGTCAAGGTTCCCTGTTGCCCCCAGGCCTGGTCGGGAGGCTCTTCCTAGCCTAGAGGCAGGCATTGCCCTCCTTCATCCTTAACTAGGAGCAGCCGAGAGCCCCTCCACTCCGGGCCACTAGCAGAGCAGAAGAGCTGCCCCAGGAGGCTTGTTCCACCACACGGGACAGCAGGAACCCAAAGTTCAGCATGGTGATGCAGCCTCTCCAAAAAGGAAGGTGCAAAACAAGTCAAAAGACACAAACCATGACTGCACAAACAAAGCACACTCTATTCTAAAATACTGAGTTATCTGGAAAAAGGAGACTAACATGGCCCTTTCCCCACCAATAATGATGAGTGTTTCATAATAATTTAAATTCTTCATTAGCCCTGACGTTTTCCTCCATTATCTTCATCTACATCACTACGTGTGTGTGTGTGTGTGTGTGTGTGTGTGTGTGTGTGTGTGTGTGTGTTTGTATGCATGTGTATTCTTTCTCATTTTAAAGCCAGCAGGTAAGGGGTGGGAGCTTCTGATCCTCTCCCCCTTCTCCTGACAGAAGGACCCACCGTTGTAAGTTTTCAGGACCACCCAGCAGGAAATAGAAGTTGGGTTTTTATCCTAATCCCCTAGTTTAGGACCCACCGTTGTAAGTTTTCAGGACCACCCAGCAGGAAATAGAAGTTGGGTTTTTATCCTAATCCCCTAGTTAAAAAAAAAATCTGTAAATAAGATCCTGCTCTACCAGCTTAATCAGGTTTTTTTTTTTTAAGTTAAATTTGATTTTTAAATCCCTTGTGCTTTTTTTTTAAAGACTTGTGGGCTTTTTTCACTTTACCTCTATTTTTAAAATATAGACGTGTGGTTCTTTTTCCCAAATCAATCCAACAGAAAGTGAATTATGGTCAATGCATAATAAAATCAGATTTACCTTTTGACATGGGAGAATTGTTAGCATTTTGATTCAATGGTTTTCTAGTTCTTCAAATTCAAAAATACTGTATCAAATCCAGGACTTCCCCAAAACTGGAATTCTGCAGATTTCTCTGTCAACACTTTTAAAACTAAAAGGGCACAATGGTATGGGAATCCGGCTACTGAATAACTTGTAAACCCTGCAGAGATACACAAAAACACGGCTGCTTGAGCCGGCGCCGTGGTGAAAGGCATGGGGCCCAACGCTGCACACATGAACTTCTCATGACCCTCAAGTATACTCATCTGATATATCGCAAATACCATAAAGCACCATTGTAATTACAGGGAGCAATTGATTTTAAAAGGTCTATATCAAAATTAATACTCATAAAAATATAATAACCTGAACTGGAGAATTTAGGGATTACAGCGTTTTGAACATTATACTTCGAATTTATGAAGGCTGTGTATTAGCATTCGCAGAGGTTTTAAAAAATGGAATAGCTACTGTGCATAGTGAATTCATAGAATAATCTAGATATAAAAAATGACTATTACACCACCCCCACCCCATGTTCAGAACTAAAATCAATTAGGTTCCCCTAATGTAATTAAAAAGCTGGTCCATGACCCATCTTCCTGTCCACAGGCTGGAATGTTCGAGAACACAGCATCTGTGCTGAGACCACAAGGAGTGCCGGTTACTTAGATGTCTCCGGGGGCAAACAGGGGGATGACTTTTCCCAGCGGAAGGCATCAGCATAGAGCCCAAGGAGAAGAAAACATTGGCAGATTTTGGAGAGATGGAAATATATCTTGGAGTGAAAACTGAATCGTCAAAGGAAAACGTTTTAACTTCTTGGGTAAGCTGAAATGGTACGTATATAATAGAATCCATTCATGGAGGGCAAAGCCAAACATTAGTCTTGATAGGCCACCACAGCACATTACAAATATCCCCCATATGGCTGTTATGATGGGGGAAGACACTTCTCGAACAGAGACGCATGACTCTAGAACTCTGACATGTCAGCTAAGCACATTGGCCATTAACAATGTTTTAAGAACATTTCAGATAGGTGGAAATATAAGAAAACAGAACTCCACTGTCTGACTTTGAGCTTGAACTAGTTCCAGCTGAAGTGACCACTTTCAGCCCAGATAATTTTCTTTCTTGGTCTTCATCCATCAACCTCTAAAACACAGTAGCAGTGAATGAAGGCAAGTCCTTGAGAAACAAACAAAGATAATTCATTTCTTTTGAATTGCTAGATAAATAAAGAGAGAGTGAGAATCATATTTGAGAAGCAGTTTAGTTTTCAAAAGATTTTTATAGATCTCATTGGATCTTCAAAAGAGCCTTCTTTAGGACAAGTATATTAATTGAAAAAAGCAATTTTATCCTTCCCATTAAAAAAAAAAATATTTAGCCCCTTGAGATATCCAAGGTTCCTAGATTTCAAAAGTTAGGTTTTCTTAGCTTTTGAATAAAAGCTAAGAAAACAATTAGGCCCAAAAGCTATAGGAACAAATTTCTCCCAAATAGTGAAGTCTTTTTTGTGAAATCCTTCTCTCTACAAACCTCTGCAAATTACTAGTTGTGAACCCCTGACAGGAGAAGCTGGCCAAAAAACAAGTTCAAGACTGATGGAGAGACAGTGTTTGACCAGTTGCAACAAGGCAGGGAAGGGAAGTGGTGCTGACTGCACAATATCGTGCATAAGTATCAATTTCAGATAAATGAGATCCCATAGATACACTCTTGCAGTTCCACCCTTACTGGAACTTTGACCTTGTTTGACTTTGACTTCAACCACCCCAATACAATTTCTCCCTATTAAAGAACTAAAATCCTTCAATTGTGAAGTTTTCCTACTCTGGTGAATTTCAGGAAAGTGATTTTTGAGGCTGTGGGTAAAATACTGCATTCCTTTAAAAAAAAAAAAGCACACTTATTTATACTTTCTATCATCTGATATATTACACATATTACACACTATTTAAATTTTGTATCCCCTAATAGAACGGACAAGGACTTCACCTTATGCACAGGTAAGTCCTAAGGCAAAGCAGGCACTCAAGTAAGACTTATTGAATGAGTGTATAAACAAATTGCACTTCATATTGTGTAGGAAAAAAAAAAATCAAAGTTTAGGCCCCTTAAAATATTGACATGCCTTGCAGAATTTACTGTGCAGGCAAAGTTAAAGAGAAGCCCAATGAGAAGACCTCCTAACAACGGCAGTACAATCAAGATAGGCCCGATTCCAACCCTTATTTCTCTGAATCAGCTACTCCTCAAGTTCATATATCGTTCCACTCAGCCAATGGCAATTCTGGGACAGAAGCAATTGATAATAATTATGTTTTCTGCCTTCTCTTGGGTTATGAATTTATCATGATGCGAAAGTTGAGCTACTCTGATGCCATGTTAACAATGATAAACACCGGAAAGACAAAGAGAAACAAAATTTAAGCGTTTAGATTCTGCAGGGGAGTTTATTAAACAGATTAACTAAGGGAAGGCAAAGCCACGCAATTATGGAAAACAGGTAGCAACACTCTCACTGGCTATTTTTGACAGCCACCTGAGAACGGATCTCACGTGCCCTCATTTCTGCAGGTACACTATCATGCTTTTATTGTATCCACAGCTGCAAGTTGATTAATTTGTATTCAGAAATTCTAAGTGGCAAATGTGCAACGCATAGTAATACGCACTTTTTTTTATGGACACACTGAAAATGCCTAAACCACATCTCATGAGTAACTCTTACTCAGCCAGTGAGCAAAATCCTACAACGGTTTGCAAAAGGCTTTGGAACAGTTTGGTTTGAAAGGAAAACTACAAGATGAAGCCCCGCTCTCCTACCCCATCTCTTTAAAAAAAAAGAACCCTAAGTCTGAAGACAAACCTTAAACAAAGAATAGTTGGGTCATATTAAGCTGCCAGAATTATCAATGTTGTCAGTTCCTCTTCTCTCCCTGTTCCCTCAGCATTTCCAATAAAACCCAGAAACACCAGTAACGACTCCCATCAACAGACTTGCGCACCACAGTCAGCACTTAAATATGAGAGAGTGATACCTGTTAAATCCACGGCCTAAGTGCAATCATGGCAGGTTCCTAAGAATATGGAACCGACAATCCGTTTTCTGCACTAAGGAGATAAGGAGTGGCATGGATAATTGAAATGGGTGGAAAATATATGTCATTGCTCAGAAAACACATTTCCTCATCCAGCCCTCCTCTCCATCAGCCCCCAAGTCTATGCCAATAGCCGGTTTGTTTTCTGAAGATGCTTCCCTTCCCTTCTGTAAGGTGAATTTACATTCCCTTTCACACTGACCTTAGAAGTTGTTGGGAGACCACACTTCCTAGACGGAGAAAACAACTTTCCCATTTGAAGCCTTTGCAAATTATCCACCACAGCTTTAACAACAGGTACTCAGCAGTTGACACTACTCTCACTGCGAAGCTCCATCAACCACCTAAAGTAACCTGAAGACACTTTAAGAGTGGTGTATGACCAGGCAAACACCACAAATATTTGACAATATTATTCAAATGAAATGGTGGTTTGCTTTTTCGTAATTTCCTTTGCTTAAAATTCCTAATTGCTTCCCCAGGCTTGCTGCTATGAATCCACCCCAATCAAAGAATGTACCTGTCAAATGCTTGATACATAACGTTCACGTTCCTTTCCACCAGAGACACTGGGGGGGACACAGCTAAACTACTACAGTCAGCCTTTTGTAAATTCATTATAGCATCTCAGTGGAGACTGAGACGTTCCCACTACTTGTCACTCTGCAATTTAAGTATTTTCCCAAACCTTCCCTGGGTGGATTGGGAGATACTGAACCAGAAACAAGGAGGGAAAAGAAACACCTGAGATGGGGCTCTTGGGAGAAAGAACAACGGATCAGCTACTAGGACTCAGGAGGAGAGGCGGCCCTGTCTGAGGCACTCTGCTGAGACTTCACGAGTGGGTTTCCACAGTTCCACATGTTTATGGCTTAAATGAGCTACAGACACTGAAAAAGCCCACTTAACCCGAAAACAAAAAGTATGGGCTGGGAATCTGAGACACCAAGGAACTCCAGAAACAGAAACAACTTCCTCAGCCTAAACATTCCAAATCCTACAAACACACACAAGGTTGCAAATAGTCCATTTCCTTACTTCTTAAATTATTACAGAAGAGACTAAATGTCTTTAAAGAACCAGACATAGGCTAAATCATAAAATGGTGACAATAAAAGTTAAGGTCCCCTTCTTGAGTTACAAAGAACAGAAAAAATTTAACGTGAGTTAAAAAGAAAAGCAATTTGATAAAGAATCAGGAATTTGAGGCTCCAGTCCTTGTTCTCTTTATTTCCTTCTAAAAATATTTAGGGAGTTTTACCAAGTATTCATGCTATGATTTTTTATTTCATTTTTTTTTTTTGCAATAGGGAATTAAATTGGCCATTATTGGTACGTTAAATTCAACCAACAGAGCAGTTAAGCAGAGTATGATCACATGTTGGTGGTATACTAACAGGATATGCTGGTATTATTTTATTGAGTCAAATAACAAGCTTCTTAGCACGAACCAGCCCTGGCATAATTCAAGATGACAGATGATCTAAGGTACAAAAATAAAGATAAAGAGCCATCAGGTGACCAAGAAGACTGCTGTTAGATCTGACTTTCTATTTAAGCCCCACCAAGGACTCAAAACACTTAAGTTGGGGTTTAGGGACACTTGGAGCAGAAAGCCACCAGGGCCCCACCCTGGTTGAGCTTTTTCTGCAACTCCAGAAGGGAAAAGAGAGTGGAAAAATGAATGATAAGCCAGCTGACACTGAAATGAAAAGATGAGATCCCAATGTTGTATTTGTCAACTAATGACATTCACCAAAAAGCTCAAATTTTAAAAGGCTTAAAGTGTGCCTTTTTAAATAATCTGAAAAAATCTTGTTTCATGTAGGAGAATGTGATTACTATTCACTCAGCAAATGTCTATTGACGGGGGAAAATGGCTCTGCATCTGGTGCCTTCATCTTCTCCCTGTAGATGCTTTGCTACCCAGGGAAGACAACGATTCAGGGGCAACAGAAAGCCTTGGACTTCATGATGACCTTCTTGTGTGTCTTGTTACCCACCTCACTCTCCATGCAAAGACTGGGAGACCTGGGCCCCTGAGGAGGGGAGAAACATCAAGGTATTTACGCTGCTGTCCTCCACTCCCTGGGATGGTATTCCTCCCCAGCCCACTCTCCCCTTGGCCCTGGGCAGATGCTATTTAATAACCACAACTCTTGGCCGGAGAGATGGTCCATAGGCCATGTTGGTATGGTGTCCTGGTGACACCTTGTGGTGAAACAAAATATAAGTAAGCCTAAAATGCCACCCATGGCTGCATTTGGGTTAACTAGAACCTGATTTCACCTGTTTTTCTGCATAACTGCTCCCTTTACCCGCCCTTCTCTGAAGAGTAGAGTTTTCTAGGCCCATAAACAGGAGAGTTTTCTAGGCCCATAAACAGAAGTGTATCCGGAAGTCCAATGGACACACACATGAAACCACAGATCAAGTCCCACAAGTGACTACACATAGGAAAGCAGCAATTTCTGTTAGAGGAGAGAGATTTTCTAAGAGATAAAAAGACCCTATCTTCCATTTATCACCACCTAGACCAATGGACTAATAAATAAAAAGGCGGCAAGGAGGAACCGTGGCATCGAAGTGCAGGTGGTCAGGTAACACATGTCTAGCTCCCAAGACCTGACGCCTGGGTTAAGATGAGAAAATTCCCTTAAATGCGTGTGAAGTTATTCTTCTTCAGTTATGCATTCTATAATCCTAAAGTATACAACCCACAAAAGGTA